GATGAGTGCCTCATGAGAAAGGCTGGAATGGGTTCAAGGGTGGCTGTGTCATCTTTGTCCACCAGCAGATTAGATGGGGACATGAGAGATGGTTGCAACCTTGTCCTGGTGTTGCTGCTTCATGTCTACTGCTCAGAAGGTGCCCAGGATTGTCACATCTCTGGAACTGTTTTTGTAGCAGTCTTAACATTTAGATAACCAATGCTTTCAAGGGACAGTTTAGCTTACTAAGAGCTGGAAATACATCAACTGTGTAACTCAAGTACGTGTTTGGGAAGCCACAATAAATGACTAAAACTGGTCTGTCTCTCTCAACAAATCCAGGTTATTAGATCTGTGGTGACAATGCAACATAAAGATGGCAAAACCATTCCATCTGCTGCCTGTCCTGTGAACTCATTTGTTCAACTATGTCATACCTTCATGATTTTCTGTAACACTGTATTGGCAATGTCTTTTGAATAGCCTGAGTCATGGGGCAGTCTTTCTATTGTAGCTTTGTTACACGTCTATGCTTTTTCATAAGGGGAGGAATTTCTTTAGAACTAGCTTTTTAATTTCACATTCAAAAGCAAGGGGTAGAATATAGGTTTATATTTAGTGAAAAATAAAATCAGTATTTTTATGTTCTTTAACAAAAGAAAACAAGTAGCTTCTGGACAAACTCAAACACAAAAAGGAAGCCTGCAGATTGTGGAAGCAAGGACAGGTAGCCTGGGAGGAATACAGAGAAATTGTCCAAGCAGCCAGGGATCAAATTAGGAAAGCCAGAGTAGTGCTACTTAAACCGGAAGAACTGTTCCTTTTAGCATATGGCCTCTGTTGCATGTACCTTAAAACTTACCCGTCTATCTTAGATTCTTTGTCAACAGTGGTCCTTTGCTTAATCTGAAAGTTAAAATTTTCAGGTAGGGTCTTGTGCCAGTTTGCAGTTATCTCTTTATTCCATTCTTACTGAAGTTCGTGGCTTGTGCGTTGGATCAGTTCCTTGTGCTTTTTTCCTAAATGACCTTTTGAGCATTTGTTGCAATTACCATGACACTGAAGTACATCCTGGCTTGAGGGTGTCAGTGCCTCTCATATGCCAACAAACGCAATTAAATTCAAGAGAATGAAGCAACAAATTGGAATAAGGATTTGAGATGTAACACATGCATGTCTTCTCCTCTTAAGTTTCCTTTTCTTCTTGGAAAAAGCACTTTGGATACCACGGTAAAATGGGGAAATTTCTAGTGTGGAAGGAATCTCACTTGGTTATTCCTATGTGAATGAAAAGATGAATTTGGAAATGAAAATTTCTTACACCTCACTTCTGAACTTCTGAATGACCCAGGAAGTAAGAAAATGTGGTCTTTCAAGTTTTGTTGGTCTGAGGTTTAGTTGAGAAATGGAAGATTTTGTAGTTACTCTCAAAAGGGATGTACTACACTTGTGTGTCTGGAAGCTTTTCTGCAATGCAGGGTCATATTTTTGTGCTCTTGTAAGCTTATACTGACTGAGTGGTTTAATGTGTGAGTGCAGTGAACTGTAGGTGCAAGTTTGTGCAGACCAGCTTCATCTGCTTTGTACTAAGGATGGTTCTGTATTGAAGGAAGTCAGAACTAAAACTGACCTTGATAAAGGCCTTTCTGTTCCAGTGTGAGGGAAACAGTCCAAGTGGAACATCTTTTTCTAAAGACCTAAACTTGCAAAGTTGAGTTTCTAAGGTACCAGGGCTTTACTTCAATGAATTTTGTCTTGATTCTCAGTGCTGGAGGACAAATTAGCTTCTTATTCTGTGTTTCAGGGTTTCTAGTGCTGATTCCAAGTTAGCACTACTAGGAACTGCTGCAAGTTACCTTAAAAAAAATATCCATGGAGTTCACCTCTACCATATTACTCTGCTACTGGTACATAGAATTTCATTTCCCTTCATTACCTTAATTGCCTTAAATGATTTAAAAGAAAAATGAGCCAGTAATGGCTGGAGAGCTAGTGTATTTCGCCACACTCATATACTTTTGCTTCTGACTTCAGAAGCTTTGTGCTTTCAAAAGACCAACCACGATGCTTCTGTTATGGTAAAAGTTATCTTTCTGAAATTACAAAGGAAGGACTAACAAAATAAGTTTAAAATAGGGTGTAGTGGTCCAGTTGATGGATTTATAGCTTGTAATTTTAAAAATCAAGTCTAATACCTCATTCCTTTCCATTGTAGCATGCATCTCTAATCTGTCAGATGACATTTTGAATATTTTGTGAAGTGGTTTGTTATCTTGGTGATGATCTTCTATCCTTTCATTGTACATGCTGTTACAGTGAGATGTGTTGAATTCTTGTATTCCTGAAGGCAATTTGAATTTAGTGGGGTAAATAGTAATTCTAAAATCCTAGTTTTTCTCTTGAGATTTAGTGAAGTAACAGTGCAGAATGAATGAATGAAAAAAATCTTATCTGCTTGATTTGTAATGGCATGGTGATGGACACTTTTGTCCAATTTGTGTGAAGATTGAACTTTACGGTTCTCCTTAACCTCCCCCTGATGAAATTTATGTGAAAAATATACTTGAATCTTGCCTTTTTTTAGTACGTATCAACAGAAGGAAAATGGGCCTACTGAAGCTATTCTTGGTAGTCTGAGTTTTAGTGGAAGATGTGAAGAAGGGACCAAAGACCTGCCAGAATAACGCATCAGTCTGCTCTCCTAAGGCTGCATGTGAAAGCTTCACCTTGAGAAGCTATCTAAATCCCTCCTGTCTGTCTCTTACCAGTCCCTCTGATCCTGCATACGCCATGAAAGAACTTGTCCTAGGTTAACCAGTAACACTCAGCTGGAGGTGATAGCCAACTAGAAAATTAACTGGTCCTTGTAACAGCAGGTGGAACAAGTTTTTTATGTTTCAGTGACCCTTGGTGATGACTAAAGAAGAGAATGGGGTAGGGACAGTATGGGATTTTCACCTGGGTTTGCAGCATGGCAGTGTGGAGCAGTTGCTGCAGATACTGACTGTGTGTGGGGAAAAAGGGGCAACAGCTTTTCCATGCCCCTGGACTTAAAGCTCACACCTGCAAATGAGTGACCAAAATTAAAGGTTTTGTAGGGAAGGTACTGTACTATTTACTGTACATCCTTAGAAGTTGAACAGGTCTGTTAAGGTACAGAGTACTTAAAAATATGCTACTGCTCTGCCTTCTCAGATTTTTGCTGAATACACTGCACTGTGGTTGGATTTTAGTAAGCCTCAAGCATTCCTGAACCATTGTAAGCCATGCAGTAGTTGTACTGTTCCAGACTGTTAGCTTGATTGATTTTCCTACTTTTAAAGTGATTGCGTGGGAGTTTCACATTCAAAGTGGTTCATGCATGCTTTAAGCATAAATAACTTTGCAGGCTTGTGATGCTGTGAGCAGAGCCGTGTATGCAGCAAGCGTCAGCTGCTTTCAAGGCTGGGTGTCAGAGGAGAAATATTAGAATCAGTACATGCATCTAGGCATGAAACAAAGAAAAAAAAGTCACTGAGATCAGGAGGAGGTTCGGTGAGTTTGGAAGTCCTTCCATAGTTGCTGGCTGTGTTTTCAGAGGGCTGTCAAATTTTGTTTATTTTGGTGGTAAATTGAGTCTTGCAAAACCACAAGAGAGCAGCTCATTTCCTCCTCTGCCCTCACGAGCCTCTGCTTGGAGTGTGACATTAAAACACTGTGATCCTGCAGCAGCTCTTGATAAAGCTGTGAAGGAAGGTGCTAAATCATAACTTATGGCTCAGCATACAAATGGTGTGTTATTTTCCTTGCTAGTGGAGTTTGAATTTAACATTGTACTTTGTAGGAATTTTGCTTTTTTAAGTACTTCAAAGCTGTGAAACATGCTGTTGGGTGTTACAATTGTGCTGCTAAACTTTATTGTGCAACAGGAATGGTAATGTATAGGGAATAGCTGTGCAACAGGATGCTAAATGGAGAAAGCTTTTGAAATATGCAATGAGAACTGGTTTTTTTTCCTTTTTTTCTTTTTAAATAAACCGAAAGTGTACACTCTTGAGTTAGCTTTTCTTTAAAAGCTTCATTCTGAATATTTCCCTGAATTGCTTCTGACGTTTAACCTGTGTAGGTTGAAATATCTGTGCAGTGAGGAAAAAAATGTGGTGCTAAGTGTACGATCAGCAATGGAACGAAACCACCTACATTTCACAGGTCCCAAAACCTCTTTCAGTTGATAGACTGGTACAATTACTGAAGTTTATTTTCTGTATCAAGGATTGACCCAGATATTATATAATAAGTCTTATATAATAAGACTGCTTTCATCTTCTTTGTGGTTCTGTGAAGTGTTGAGCAGATTTCACAGGAGACAGTGAAAGACAGAAATGCTCAGAGCATTGTGCAGTATTTTTTCCTTAGCATTTAGATATTGTTGCCCAAGACGCATGCTAAGAATCTGAGGGAGGTGTGTGTTCCAGTGTTCAGAGGACAGGTGTGAAACAAGTGACTTACTGAACTTCAAAATACAGGTGAGGAAAGAGCTTTGAAAAAAGTGTTACAAAGTGGGCCTGGCTTGGACATCTTTTCTTTCTTACAGCTTGAATGTATGGTTCTGCAGTTGGTGTCTATTTTACCAGCCTGTGGGTTAAATTGCCAATACAACTGTATCATGCAGCTGGATTATGGGAAGAGATCCTTTTAAATACTTTGCCACACCTTCTAATATGCTTGTTCAACAAGCAAAATCTGTGGGCTCTGTGGGTTTTCTGTAACAGTTGCCAGGACTTTTTAAATATTACCACTGGGCTTTTTCATTTTCCAAGCAGTTCTGTTGATATTCAGTTTGTACCTTATTTTCAGAGGCATAAAGGATGGACACCTAAAGCTTAGATACTCCCATAGTCCAGTTGACTATCAAGAGTAGACATTGTTTAAACAAATAATTCTAAACTTAAAGCTTTTTCCTCCTTTACTTCATACTTTCCACCACTATCCTACTCTCCAAGGAGTGTTACTCAATCAACTTTTTTGTTGTATTTTAGGGAATACCTGGGAAAACAGCTGCAATCAGAACAACCTCAAACAGCCACCGCACGGAGCTGAACAATTCCTTTGGTTCGTCCTTATAACTACAGTATGTTTGTCTTTACAAGAAAACACTGAAATTACATGGTCTTTGCCTGCTACTAGTGCAGAAACTTTCCAGCTTCCCTCCAGTGTTGTTGGCTTAATAAAAATCTGTGTTCAGTTAGTTCTGATGATTATTCCTGTTAGCTTCCTGTTATATTCTGAATGTATATGGGGAAATGTGGCTAATATATTGCATTTGTTTTGTGTATTTATTCTCATAATAAAGAATCTTATTAAAGGATATTCATTCCACATTGTAATTAGCCTAGCAAATACGTTCTTTACTTTTAGTGGGTTATCAGTGTTGTCACTTCCCACGAAAGCAAGCGGTGCCTGTATGTCTCTAGACAAATTAATAAAGCTTTGGCTTGGTGTTCTGTGGGAAAAGCAATAGCCTGACAAATTTCTGTAATCAGTACTAAAATACATACTAAGTCTCAAAATAGTGTCACGATTGTTTCTTTTTATATACAAATGTTTGATTTTTTGTGGGGCGGGGTAGTTCTTGCATCCAGAGTGTTTAATGTAGTCTCAAACGAGAGAAGAGGAAAAGAGAACAAACACTCCTCTAATGAAAATTTATGCATTTGAGGTTTAGTCAAGCTGCATAACACCAGTGTTAAGGCTGTAGAGATCAAGTCTTTTTTTTTTTTTTTTTTAATAGCAAATGTGCAGTAACTGATGAACTTGGAATTTCATGGGAGTGCTTTTGCAGTTGAAAATACTTCCAGATGTTAGAGTTATGGTGTCATTCTAAAATCTACTGTATTTCCTTTACATTAGCCAAATAATTTGGCTATCAATATTTGCACTTTTGTAGCTCCTGATAGTAAAAAAGATGTAAGTGTCAATAAATCAAAGATTATATTGGACTGGCATGTGAAAACAGCCTTGTTGTTGTATATATAGGAGCTTGGCTCTAGGCACTTGCAACACCTGAGCAGTTGATATTCTTCTGGTTCATTTTTAGAATGGAAAAAAACAATGAGAAGAACATGACTTAATGTCCTCAGTAGTCTTGTGTGGTGAAAGTCTCTGAGGAAGCTTTGGGTACTTTTTCATCAAGTGAAAAAACAAATTGGGAAAATTTTTCTCCCCCAGTCTGGTTTTTCACCATATGTACCTTAAATTTGGCCACTGTTGCAATGTAGAAGGAAGACTTTAGGGGATGACAGTTGTGATGATCTCTTGACCTGCTTAATTAAAATTGGATTGTGTAGTTTAATGACTGTTGCTTCCTTTTTCATATAGGAGACAGAGGCTTTGACATTGAGGTTAGCAGCATGAGGATAAATGCTGAATGTAGGGAACACGGGTCACGGCAGCGAGACCCGAGTAACGACTCGCACCGATGTGATTAATGGTTGTCCTCTGTTTATTTGCCCAAACAGCCCAGCATATATACAGCTTCAGCTGTTCACGTGCTTAGCATACACTTGGGATTGGTTAGAAGCAATTATTCACGTGCCCCAAGCTCATTATTAAATGAATATTAATCATATTGCCCCTGCCAAGCTTCTACCCCGCTTGTAGTTCTATCACCCTGTGAAAATTCTGCAAAAGGCTACTATAATATCACTTACGCTCCATCCTAGGCCTTCCAAGGATGCCTCAGGAACAATCTGCACTTGTTCTGTCACGTGTGCCTTGGCACTACTGCCTGCATTGTTCACCTCCCAAAAGATAAAGTCATGTCTGTTGTCTTTCAGAAATTCCTCCACAGCTGAAGCCTGAGAAGAATTAATCTCACTTTAGTTGGCATCAGTTGAGTGCTCTTGAAATAAATCTCTGACTCTTTGCAGCTTTCCATGCTTCCATTTGCATCACACGATGGTGTAAGAGCATGAACGAGAATTCTTGGATCAAGATAAACTGCAGGGTGTACATCCTGTGTGTCATGGTTATTTGGCAAGTGTGCAGTCCACCGGACCAGGTAAGATTTTGTTTGAAATAGGGCCCTTTGAAATGCATGCAGAGTGAAAACTGGATTCCTGGTGCCAAATGTCTTGCTCTGTAAGTCAGATGATTGTCAGACGTCTTGCTGATGTAAGCATAGCCTAAGACTTATCTTGAAGATGCTGTACATGGTTGGTTCTCTGGATACAGCTGTAATGTTGGACACAGGAATCGTAAATAGGGCATTGTTGTGGTTTGAGGCTTGGAATGGGGGCGTGGCCTTCCAGCAACTGGGAGGGGCCTGGGGG